CAACCACCAACAAATATGAATACCCAGTGCCCAACAGTGAGTCAATTGGGGCAGCAACTGGCACAATTGAATAGAGCAAAAACACAGATAGAGCCCCTCCAATTCAGAAATTGAACACAGCAACCAGGATGTTATCAAGAGGTCGATAAAACACTACTAATGCCAACAAGGAAGTCAATTGCTGAATTAACTCAACCAGAATTTCAACAATCACTACCCTGGCCGAGTTGCCTTCCAATTATCACAGACAATTGAAAAATCCACCCCACCCAAAAACTAAACAATTCCACCTCAAAAATTGAACAAATGTCCCCAGCAGTGCACCCGTAGCAAGAGCCCCAAGGAGTCAACAATCTAAGCAAGAATAGTGCAGAAGCCAACAATAACAACTTAATCCCAAGCTTTCAGCTTCCAATCAGTTAGCCCATAGAGTAGATTAAACCCAGTGAAGTCAAAATACCCACAGAGTCGAGGAAACAATTGCAACAGCTGACCCACAATAATGAAAACCCCAACTATACCAAGTACGAACGCGGAATTGGGAAATGAGTTTCAAATACCTCCACTGACCGATAGGTGAAGAAGGTGGAACTGGTGGCGGCTAACAAAGGGGCAGCTGCGTGCAGTTGACGCTGGGTTAGGCGGCGGTGAAGTAGAGCTGGGGTGGAGGTGAGCTATCCGCGCGGAGAGAGAGAGAGAGATTCGGAGGAAGAGACAGAGGCGGCGTGCGGCAGAGGCGTCGAGCGGTGGGCGGCGGCTGTCTCGCGCGAGGGCCTCTGGGTCTCGGCCAAGGGGGAACGACAGCGCAGAACTGATCGTCTCGGTAGGGGTGCAAGGAGAGAGAGAGACGGTGGACAACAGCTCGCGACACACAGGTGGAGAGTCGCGGCGGCGGTCGCCTTGCTGCGTGCGACGCGTGCGCAGTCAGTCGCGGTCGCGCGAGTGACCGAGAGAGAGAGAGAAACGCAAGAAGGGTCTGCGGTGGTGGGGTGAAGCGAGGCGCGCACGGGGACGGCGGACTAGACCAGGGTTGCTAGGGAGATGCGCAGAGCCGCGGCGGCACGGGTGGCTGGCTATCGCGTGCGGCTGAGAAGCTGGGTTGCGCGCGAGCTGGTGGCACGTAGCCGTGGGCAGGAGGCCGCGACTTTGGAGGAGATCGGGTGGCAGCAAGGGCGGTGGTCACCAAGCTGGAGGCGCGCGTTTAGCAGGAAGCGGCGGACCAGCAGGAGAACAGAGTAGAAGAAAGAAAGAAAAGAGAAAGAAAGCAGAAGAAGAAAGAATGAAAAAGAATGAAAAAAGAAAGAATGAAAAAAAAAGAAATTTTTTTTTCTTTTTGGAAATTTAAGCTACGGTGAAAATAAAATTTTGTTTTATTTTTTTATTTGCAAGACCTTATTATTACATAACTTATTTTCGAAATTAAAAATTAGAAAATAATAGAAAATGAATACATAATTTATGTCTTTTTTTTTTGAATCCTTACCTTTCTCGCGAACGTGGCGCGGCACGTCAAGAAGGCACGGGATAAGGAGCTCTTCAGGTCGCTTGACGTGGGCACGTCATGAGAGCAAGAGAGCTCTCTGACCATGAGCTCTTCATGGGACTTGACGCAGGCACGTCATGAGGATCGAAACCCCTTCTGATGATTCTGATCTGGAGTTTCCTATACGTTATGACGCTTGCGCTTCAAAAGGGCAGGAACCCCTTCTGACGCTTCTGATCATGAGCTCTCTACGGGCGCGTCATGAGGGCAGGAACCCCTTTTGACGATTCTGATCATGAGCTCTCTATACGTCATGACGGAAGGACACCTACAAATCATCAAAACGAAAATTGAAATCCGAAATCATTCAAATTCAAGGAAAACATATTTAAACTATCACACGAAATCAAACAAACAATTAAAAGCAACAATTGGGTTGCCTCCCAATAAGCGCCTTTCTTTAATGTCTTTGGCTAGACATGGTAAAGTGTCACTGATTAGGACACGGTGGTGCGTCTAGACTTATTGTCTCCACTTCTCCACTTGAAAAACTTTCATAATAATGTTTGAGACGGTGTCCATTCACCACAAACTTGTTGTCTGTCTTAACACTCTGGATTTCAACTGCACCATATGAAAACACGTGAGTAACAATAAAAGGTCCAATCCAACGGGAACGTAGCTTACCTGGGAAGAGCTTAAGCCTGGATTGGTACAGGAGGACCTTCTGACCAACTTCAAAGGTTTTTCTAGAGATTTGTTGGTCATGAAATACCCGACTCCTCTCCTTGTAAATTAGTGCATTTTCATAGGTTTCGTTCCGGATCTCCTCCAATTCTTGTAAATTCAACTTTCGTTGGGCACCGGCCTCTTCTAAGTTCATGTTGCATTGCTTTATCACCCAAAAAGCCTTGTGCTCGAACTCCACTGGCAGGTGACACGGTTTCCCAAATACCAGTGTGTACGGTGACATCCCTATAGGGGTCTTGTAAGCCGTCCGATAAGTCCAGAGTGCATCTTCCAACCTTTGACTCCAGTCCTTTCTATCCGGTCACACCATTTTCTCCAAAATGGACTTAATCTCCCGATTCGATACCTCCGCTTGACCATTGGTCTGAGAGTGGTACGACGTTGAGACCCTTTGGAGTACACCATACTTGCAAAGCTATGGTTTTGTTGCAGAAGTGTGTTCCCTTATCACTGACAATAGCTCTTGGCATTCCAAATCGCACAAAAATATTAGACCTAATAAAATCTGTAACTACTTTCGAATCATTAGTCCGGGTGGCCTTGGCCTCCACCCATTTAGACACGTAATCGACTGCCAACAAAATATACACAAAATCAAAAGAGGTAGGAAAAGGTCCCATGAAATCGATACCCCATACATCAAAAATTTCAACAAAAATTAACGGGACTTGGGGCATCTGATCTCTACGGGCTATATTACCTACCCTTTGACAACGGTCACACGACTTACAAAACACTTAAGCATCCTTAAACAATGAAGGCCAATAAAATCCACTTTCCAATACCTTATGAGCAGTTCTCTTAGGTCCAAAATGACATCCACAGGCAAAAATATGACAAAAAGTTAAAATCGATTGAAATTCCGCTTTACTTACACACCTCCTCATCACTTGATCTGCACATCTCTTCCATAAGTACGGGTCATCCCAGATAAAATATTTGGCGTCGCTCTTCAATTTATCCCCCTTCGATTTCGGCCAACCTGCAGGAAAATTACCCGTTACTAAATAATTGACTAAATCGGCATACCAAGGCAATTGAGACTTTAAAGAAAATAGATGCTCTTCAAGGAATGCATCCTTCAATGGTTCGTTCTTCTCCCCAACTGGTATGCGACTCAGATGGTTGGCTACTAGGTTCTCTGAGCCTTTTTTATCCCTTATCTCCAGGTCAAATTCCTGTAGTAGCAATATCTACCTGATGAGCCTCGATTTTGCATCTCTCTTGGTCATTAGGTACCTTAATGCTGCATGATCAGAAAATACAATTACTTTAGCACCTAACAAATATGACCTGAATTTTTCTAAAGTAAAAATAACCACAAGAAGCTCCTTCTCAGTAGTGGAGTAATTCAACTGGGCCCCATTCAAAGCGCGGGATGCATAGTAAATGACATGAGCTGCCTTTCCCACTCTTTGGCCCAACACAGCCCCTACAGCATGGTCACTGGCGTCGCACATAATCTCGAATAGCAAATTCCAGTCAGGAGGCTGGATGATCGGGGGTGAAGTCAACAGCTTCTTCAAAGTGTCGAAAGCTATCTCACACTGGTTATCGAACTCGAAGGTCACATCTTTTTGTAAAAGTTGGAACAACGGGGCTCCAATCTTTGAGAAGTCCTTGATGAACCTTCGAAAGAAACCTGCGTGGCCAAGAAAAGAGCGCACTTCCCGCACACTCGCGGGGTAAGGTAAAGCAGATATAATGTCTATTTTAGCTTTATCAACTTCAATACCTTTAGAGGATACAATATGCCCTAAAACTATCCCGTACTCAACCGTAAAATGATATTTTTTTCAATTAAGCACAAGATTAGTCTCTATACACCTCAATAAGATCAACCTCAGGTTATCTAGACATGTATTAAAACTATCACCATACACACTGAAATCGTCCATGAAAACCTCAATTATTTTCTCAACATACTCAGAAAAGATGCTTACCATACATCTTTGGAAAGTTGCAGGTGCATTGCACAACCCGAATGGCATCCGTCTATACGCAAAGGTCCCGAATGGGCACGTGAAGGTCGTCTTCTCTTGATCCTCCGGTGTAATTGCTATCTGAAAATATCCTGAAAATCCATCCAAAAAGCAATAGTAAGCTCCACAAGCTAAGCGTTCAACCATTTGGTCAATGAAAGGAAGAGGGAAATGATCCTTTTTGGTGACGACATTTAGCCTGTGGTAGTCAATACACTGCCTCCATCCAGTGGGTTTGCGCACTGGCACGAGCTCACCCGTTTAGTTAGCCTCTACCGTCACTCCTGCCTTCTTTGGGACTACCTGGACCGGGCTTATCCAAGGGCTTTCTGATATCGGAAAGATGATTCCCACATCTAACAGTTTCAAAATTTCTTTCTTCATCACTTCCATCATGAGGGGATTGAGCCTCCTTTGAGCCTGCCGTACAGGTTTAGTATCATCTTCAAGTCTAATCCGGTGCATACAGATGGAGGGGCTGATCCCCTTGATGTCTGCGATGGTCCAACCTATCGCCTCTTTATACTCTCTAAGAACTCGGATCAGTTTCTCCTCCTGGGTTTTTGACAGTACTGATGAGATAATCACCGGGAGTGTTTCGTTGTCACCCAGATACGCATACTTCAAGTGCTCTGGTAAGGATTTCAACTCCAATTCAGGTGCCTGCACCACAGATGGTAGTACCCTTCGGTGAGGTTCGGGAATGAAAATTGGAGAGACTTCATACCTTTTGTTATGGTTGGCAATGAGTGCAATGCCCCTATTGTGCATTTCAGATCTTCACTCTACTCCACCTCAGGAGTTGTCTCCAACTCGAGGTGCTTGGTTAAAGCAACTTCTAACTCATCCTTGCCAACGGTTTCAAACACTTCCTGCACCGCAAGGTCAATAGCACTCACAGAGAAAACGGAGCTAAAGTTGGAGTTTGAGGGGTATTTCATAGTATCAAAAATATTAAAATGCACAATTTTTCCATCAAACTCCATGGACAAGGTACCCTTATTAACATCAATTTTCGTTTGTGCTGTGCTCATAAAGGGTCTACCTAATAACAAATGTGAGGGATCGGGTGAGTGATCATCATCCATATCAAGTACATAAAAATCAGCTGGAAACACCAAATCATTAACTTTTACCAACACATCTTCAACCAACCCATCAGGATATGTATTAGTTCGGTCAACTAATTGAATGATTATCTCAGTTTCTTTTAATGGACCTAGTTTTAGAGGAGCATAGATAGATTTAGGCATGATATTAATTGATACTCCCAAATCCAACATGGCCCTTCTAATCACAGTGTTGCCTATCCTACAGGGAATAGTAAACATACCTGGATCCCCGCACTTTGGTGGAAACTTTCTCTGCAGGACTGCTGACACATTTTTCCCAACAATGACCCTTTCATCTCCCCACAACCGCCTTCGGTTGACACACAAGTCCCTTACGAATTTGGCATATTTCGGTACTTGTTTGATTGCGTCTAAGAGGGGGATATTAATCTCTACCTTGCGAAACACCTCCAGGATCTCCTTCTCCTTATCCCGCTTCTTCGATTTTTCCAGCCTGCTAGGGAAAGGGGGCGGGTTAGTTTTAACTGTAATTATTGGGTCTGGAAGTACCTTTTGATCTGCACCATTGCTGTTCTCCCTCTCAATCTCATTTTCGATCTTTTTCTCATCTTTGTCCTTAGGGATCACAGGCTCAGGTCCCAGAATTTCCTTCCCGCTCCTTAGGGTCATCGCGCTTACATTTTTTGGGTTCAATTCAGGCTGAGACGGCAATTTACCTTGCACTTGGGACTCCAAGCGGTTGATTGTTTTGGCCATTTGATTCATCTGATTTCTTATGTTCTGCCTCTCGGAGTCCGTCTTTTGTTGATTAGCAAGTAGTTGCTTCATCATCTCCTCCAAAGATGGACCAGAGCTCGGGGGCGGAGGTGGTCGGGATTGGTGTTGCTGCTGGTACCCTGGTTGCTTATTTGGCACGAAATTAGTCTGCCTGTTCCCTCCATAGCTGAGGTTAGGGTGGTCCCTCCAACCAGGGTTGTAGGTACTTGAATAGGGGTCATAGGACCGTCTTGGCGCGGGCGCGTGACCTGCCATGTTCACTTGCTCTGCACCCTCCTCTTGCATCATTGGACACATGTCTATAGAGTGACCCATACCAGTGTAAATCCCATACACCTTGGCCTGTGATGCATTTCCTACAGCCAATTGCCTAACAAAAGAAGTCGACTCAGTTAGCTGCTGCTGGATAGAGGATGTCTCTACCTCATTCACCTTGCGTATTGGGACATCCTCCCTCGTACTGAATTGCTGTGAATTCTCTGTCATTCCCTCAATTAACTCTCATGCTTTTCGAGGGGTTTTGTTTACCAATGCCCCTCCACTTACAGCATCAATTATGCTCCTGTCCCTGAAAAGAAGCCCCTCATAAAAATATTGTATGAGCAATTGCTCACTTATTTGGTGCTGGGGGCACTTGATGCACAAATTCTTGAACCGCTCCCAATACTCATAGAGTGACTCCCCTGGGTGCTGCTTGATCCCGCAAATTTCTTTCCTTAGACTTGCAGCCCTGGACGCAGGAAAATATTTATCTAAAATTTTTTTCTTTAATTGATCCCACGTGGTGATACTACCTGGTGGTAGGTAGTACAACCAGTCTTTTGCTGAATCCTTCAGGGAGAAGGGGAATGCCCTCATTTTTATCTGCTCTTCTGTGATTCCCGGGGGTTTCATACTATTGCACACGACATCAAACTCCTGCAGATGCTTATACGGCTCCTCACCTGCTAAACTATGAAAAGAAGGTAAAAAATGAATTAGACCCGATTTCAATTCAAATGAAGTGTTATCACTCAAACTCGGGACAGTAATGCATAAAGGCTGCTGAGTTAAATCATGAGTAGTCAACTCCCTTAATATTCGTGTATTAGCCATAGGGACTTCTTCTTGCTCCGAGTCACTCGAAGTGTCACCAAACGAATCTGCTGGTTCAACTTCTGGCTCAGGTCTCTGAGATGTAGCACTTGAGTGCTCTTCTCTGAGTTGTCTGGTCTTTTTTCTTGTTCTACGCGCAGTCTTCTTTACCTCGGGGTCAAAAATTAATTCACCTGTACGAGAAGAACGAGGCATACACTCGAAAAGCACCAGAAAATTAGAACAAAAATGAATTTAAAAAGAAACAAATAACTGACACCAGTCCCCGGCAACGGCGCAAAAAATTGACAGGTTGTCGAAGCCTGTACAATAATAAAATCAAACCTAATTGCCAGTTAAAATGACCAAAACCCAATTCCAAGTACTGGAGCAGGGACTCTAGGTATGCAATGGGTTACTTGATTCACTCTGTTCCCGAAGAGTTTGTTTGATCCGATATACGCGAATGGGATGATTTTTTTTCACAAATAACTATGAATTTGTAAACATGGCAAGTAGGGTCGTATTCTCAGGGATTGGGTATATTTGTCTCTTAAGAAATCCAAAGTAACACAGGGGGTGATTTTGTAGGAACGACGACAATCAAATAAATGTAAATAAGAAAATAAAAAAATAAATAACTAACTAGAAATTAAACAACAATTCACTGAACTCAGAGTAACAATAATTAAAGGCCTAAATTAATTAAAACACGAAAACAATTAAAAATAAAATAAAGTAGGCAACTAAAAGTCAAATAGCAATTCACTAAAATCAAGGTAATAGCAATTAAAGATCTAGCCAAGGAATAACTTCAGCAATAGTTCATTTAATTGATCATCGATACACAAGCAATTTCAATTATTTATCAATAAATAGGTTATAACTGCCAACCAAGCGATGGCAGTCAACCCCTCCTTACTGTGTCGGTGATCAAGGTACGCCCGTTAATCACTGCTTTAAATTGGAGAACAATCCTAGGTACGCTCGTAAGATTTAATTCCTCAATTGCCTTTCGTATTAGAGGAGCCCTTTTTCTAACCAAATAACGCACTACTAGGGTTATTTCATATTAGCCCGCGTATCCCCCTGACACAAATCTAATCATGCCAGTTGTCACTAATTCAAAACAATTAAACAATTACGGATTTAATGCCCTAATTGACAATAGATTATCAGACTAACTAATCATTCGGATCCAAGACAATCAATTAATTAAACAATCATAAATACTGCAATCAAGGGATATGCAAATACTAATAAATAAAACAAAAAGATAAAATTAAATCGATTTCACAATTTTAGGCGAACCAAAGCTTCCTTCGTTCCTTGACTAGAGTGAAGAAATTAGTTCATATTTGACAAGCAAAACCCATGGAAAATTGCAGCAAGAGTCGCGGCCATTATCACAGAAATTGGGAAAATGCAATTCGTTTGCGCGATGGAGGATAATGAAGCTACAGAGAAGAATTCAATGTTCCTAATCATCCCTGACATGCGAGTGAAGCAAACCCACTACAAGACGAAAAGCTAAAAGCTAAATAAAAAATACTACAGAGCATAATTCAAGTCTTTTCTTTTGTTCTTGACATACGTGAGCTCAATATATCCCAAAGCTCTCCATGGAAAAGTCAACAAAAGCTAGCCTCCAATCTCCTGACATGCGTGGGAACAAGCCAAGAAAGAAAAGCCCACCCCTAAGCTAAAAGACGAAAAACTCAAAAATAATCAGAGAGCTCTCATCCTCTGCAATCTTCCATTTTGTATCTGATAGTCTCCTCCTTGCACTGTGCGGCGGCTCCCAGGGAAAACAAGACGTCGGTCCAATGACCGAAAAGGGCTTGTGTCCCTTTTTCCAAAAGTGCCCTTGCAAGCCTTCTATTTTATTTCTTTTCCGATGACTGTCAAAGTAGCAGTGATTGTGGTATTTTTGATCTACTTTCTGAAATAAATGCAAATTACGAAAAGTGAGTAGAATCCAGCAATTAATGCACATCAAGTCAGGTAATAGGAAAAATTAATAATAAAATAAATAGTGAAATTGCAATCTATCAATTTTGTTGTGACTTAAATTTTGGTGATCAACAGAATTTTATCTATTTAACATCACTTAGTTGCAGTTCTTTTGAAGGATGCTTACAGTCAGCATGAACTAAAAAAAAAAAAAAAAATTCATCCACTTACTTATATGAAGATAGTCTTTTGTGAATTTCGTATCTAGTAAATTTTATTTAGTTAGAAAAAATTATCTCGCAATATGTAAAGATATATAGAGAGGAGTGTAAAACTTTTACATGGTTAAATAAACAAACTAAATGATATAAAAGAAAAAGCAATATTGAGGTATTCGATTGAGGAGGGGGAGGGATGTTTTGGGGGAAGGAGTATAAAGGTCTCGAATTCGAGTTATTCTACTTGTACTAAAAAGAAAGAGGTATTTGATTGAGGAAAAAAGAAATTTTCTTAAAAAAAATAAAATGGGATTTATTAGATATTTGGGCGGCATCAAAATGGGTTTAGCCCATTTTAGTTCCGCCCATACTGGTTCCAAGACCAAAATGGAACTATTTGGATATAACCCATATTTTGTAGTTCCAATTAAGTTTCGCCCAAATCGAGGTATTTAGTTGAGGAAAAAATAGTTTTTTTAAAAAATAAATAAATAAAATGGGATTTATTGGGTGTTTGGATGGGATCAAAATGAATTTAGCCCATTTTAATACTGTCCATACCGGTCCCATGACTAATATTTTGGGCTTTCAGTAAAGTCCCGTCCAAATCTCGCCATCCCATCCATTGGCTACCTCTAATTTGAGGACAAAAACAAATTAGCTGGGACAAAATTTCCATTCAACAAAAATTTCAAGAGCTAAGTATTCTTGTACATGTTAATTAATGAACCAATTTACTCTTAAAACTAATTGCAGTAAATATCACACTGATGTTAAGCGAGTACATGAGCAAATATTCTCTTCTTGAAGTAGTTTTCCAAGCAAAGGGTCAATCAAGAAATAACCAAAATCCCGTGCATTTAATTTTTCCACACATTCCACGCGTTAGTTTTGGAGTATTCATATCGGTCATGATCTGAGTCTTTCCACAATTCAAGAACTTAATGTTTAGGAAACTTCAAGCCCAAACCCATCTCCACGTTTGTCCTTTTTTTCTCTACTCTGTCCAATATTCCGTGTTCTTTGCACTATTTTTGAGTGCTTTATTCTTGATAGAGCTCACACAACAATTCAAATCAAAGTCATTCATCCAACAAAGTCTCCCTTCACGTTCACCTTCAATGAAAGTAGTGGTGCGTTTTCGAAGACTGGAAAAACAATTTTCTACAACCTCTTATTGACCAACTCACATATGAAGGAAATAAAAATGTGATTTGCAAAACGTCTTTAAGAGTCTTCGGAGCCTTTGGAGACTCCAAAGACAGTTCTCAAACACATCAGCGTCCATATAGAGCTGAAGAGTGTCATTAAAATCCCCAAATTTTAACCATCCCTCTCTTGCATATACTGTCACGTTAGCGATTATGATGGGCATGGCAAAAACAGGCAACTTCCTGTTTCTTCTTGCTGTCCTGCTATGCTTTCCTGTGGTTCCCTTAGCCAACATCAAGCGCAACATTTCCACGGATCTATCTGCGCTGCTTGCCTTAAGATCCAATGTCTTGGATCCTACACATGAATTATTGACAAAGAATTGGACCACGAGAATGTCAGTCTGCAACTGGCTTGGTGTCAAATGCTCTTCTCGCCACCATCGAGTAGTCGCTTTGAATATGTCTTACATAGGCCTTCAAGGTAGCATTCCTCCAGAAATAGGAAATCTTTCCTTTCTCAATTCATTTGATTTCCGATACAACAGCTTCACAGGTCGTTTGCCTCAGGAGATGGCCCGTCTGCGAAGACTCAGATACATTAATCTCAGCTTTAACAAATTTAGTGGAGAGGTCCCTTCATGGTTCGGCTTTCTGCCTAATCTTCAATACTTGTTCATCGCAAATAACAGTTTTACGGGTAGCCTTCCCCTTTCCCTGTCTAATGCATCAAAGTTGGAGGTCTTAAATGTGCAGTTCAATCAACTGCAAGGTAATATACCCCAAGAAATTGGTAATCTTGGCAAGCTGAAGATCTTGAATCTGCAAGGTAACCAGCTTACAGGGTCTATGCCGCCAGCCGTTTTCAACATTTCATCGTTGCAAAGACTGTCTCTGACAAGCAATAGTATTAGTGGTATTCTTCCCGTAAACATGTGCTTTAACCTTCCAAAAATTCAAGCCATTTTTCTATCGACAAACCAATTTTCAGGCCAAATTCAGTCCAGGTTCAAGAATTGCTCAGAGCTTCAAGTTCTTGCACTGAGCATCAATAAATTCAGTGGAGCAATACCACGAGAAATTGGAAACT